GAGTCCGACGCGGAAACGGTGCGGGTTGCCAGCTCGCCCGGAAGCTCAAGACCTTTCGGAGTGGCCTAATTTTGGTGGCCCCGCAAGGTCAAGCTCTTTTTCCCAGGTCTTTTGGGCACGTATGGGGTTCCAGAATGGCTCTTGGAACCTAGCCAAGTGGACTCAATCAAGTCAGCTTGGTTTGGCGCCCAAATCGCAACCATGTGCGACCCATTAGTGGCCTACTGTGCAACGCTTGCCATTTTGGCACCTGAACTCAAGTAGAAGACGTGCACATGATCAGAAGGGGCTCAGAGACACTGGCAAAGCCAAACAGCACTCACATCTAGTGAGCTTATTTTCACACAAACCGCAAGCTAGCTTTCAAGCCACGAGAATATGCGTTCTTTCGGCAAGCGCCTCCAAGCGATGGACACCGGATTGTCTTTTTGCGCGCAGATAATTTGCGGGTTGCCATGGCCAGCTTGAACCCGCAGAAGACGTTCAAGGCGGGGCATCGCCCATTCGAATTTATGCCTTCGCTAGCTTCAAGCCGCGAGTTTTGCCCTCAGGGTTACGGGGGTGAGGATCTTGTCCCACTGCGATAGGAAGCCCTTGCAAAAGCGCTTCAACCGGCACGTGCAGCCTCTACATGCGTGGTGCAGCACAAAGCGCCACAAGCAATGAACCTTAAGCCGTCTTGAGCCCTACATCGCCTCAAGCGACTTCAAAACAAATTTCTAGAAGCTGCCATTGCTGAGAGGGCAAACTTGCCTGGAAAGTCAAGATGCATATTTGTGTATCCCTAAACCCTTTTCGTGCTTTATTCCCAGAAGAACGTGTGTCATGGGGGGGTTCTTGTCATCAGGGTGAAACAGGCAATTCGACCCGGAAAAGCAGCTTGGCACAGGTTGTAGACGCTGGGAGTGGATTATTTCGAGTTTCTTCTGTGCGGCTTTTGTCACTGGGCGCAGGTGCCTGGCTGAAAGAGAGTTTGGGACAGTCCCTCATTTTTCCCACTCTTTTTCTTGGACTTCTGTGCTGGAACTTCATTCACAACAACGATGGAATCTGCTGACTGCATAATCTCTGTCCCCGGCCCAGTGGACCGCAAGATTCCTGTTTGGAGGGATCCAACGATCCAACCACGTGTCATATTGCAAGTGATTCCCACATCCACCCAGACCCAGCCTCTGTGGCCGTCCTGCTGGGCCATGCGGGGCCCCCGCTCGCACCCTGCGTGTTAGCAATCAAGTTAGTCAGTTCGCAGGCTGGCTTGCCAGTGAAACGATCGCCGTTTAGAGACAGGCCACGACTTCTTCTTCTTCTGCGATTGTTAGCTAGTTAGCTGATGTTAGCCTATGAAAAGTGCAAAAGGCACGAGTTTTTGGAGGGTGGGGACGCTCGCGCACGCTTAAAAAATCGAGTTTTTAGTGGCTCGTTGCCTGAACATCCACAGAGGGCTTAGAGTGTTTGAGGGTTGGCTTCACGAAAGTCCGCAGAGGGTTTGCCCTTTGATGAAAAAGCGCACGCGTCCGTGGAAATGGCCCCATTTTCCGCTCGAGCCCGCCCTTTTGCTCCTCACGTGTTTGTGTCTCGCAGCGCATATATCCCCCAAAGAAAACGCGGTTCACTTGTTCCAGTAATGCGGATGTTTTCCTAAACGTCCTTTGTTGCAGATCTGTAAAGAACAGCCAAATCATGCAGCAGTGTTTCCCCTGGGTGATCGTTTGCGGCCGTGGAAATCCTCTAATGGGGTGATTCGGGGGTGGAAATCCTCATGTTTGGCGCCTCTGGCACGCGGCAAGCGCCAGGTCTTCAGCGGGTATGGAGTCTTCCTCAACGAGGCGGCTGGGGCAATTCGTTTCAACGGCCCCGGCCACCGTTTTCTTGGGAAGCCAAACACATGTTTTACACAATGGACGTTACCCTCCCACCAGCTAACATGGAAGTGCACAGACCCCAGTACAAAGACTACTTCCTCTTGGTTAGTTGGCCTTTTTGCACTTCCATGTTAGTTGGTAGGGCGAGCAGACTGGGCGCCCACGAGGCCTGGCCGGAGGCCGTGGCGTCCTTGAGAAGTGCCGGGGAGCAGCTCGGCGAGGAGCAGCTCACGCGGAGGCTCAAGGCCCGCTGGGACCAGATGACAGGCCCGGAAGCGGACGCGGGGTTGGCCTCCGGTGCAGCCAAAGCAGGGTGGAAAGATGAGAAACAGTTGTGGGCAGTTCAGCGCCCAGAAGTTGGGTGTTTCTGCCAGGGGAGTTTTTACCCAACGAATCCTGTTTCTTTTTCTGGGAGCCGAAGGCTGGCCACAGTGTGGTTGAATCACTAAAACATTGCAACGTTGGAAACTGAGACTTCCTTCTTCACGTCGCAAGTTCCTCCTTTACAGTATCCTCGAACTCCAGGGCCTGTTGCTGGCTCGTGCTAGACAAAGTCCTCGACCCGGGCCGAAGTTTGAACCGAAGGGCAAAGGGAGCCCTAATCAAAGTCGGGTAGATGAAGGCGAGTAGGGGTTTGTCAAAAGCAGACATAGGTTTGGACATCCTATGTGAAGCCTTGGTATGGTGTTGGGCAGACCAACCACCCTTCATGTTTAGGAGCGAGATTTTGATCCGCAGGGGAAAAGCCACACATTTGCCTTCTCTGCCTTTTCCACATTTGAGAGTTAATTTCCCAGCCAGTGAGAACGGGCGCCACCCAACTTTCCACAAATGCCTTATGTACTATGTCCTCTTTGGGAACGCGGGTTTTGCAGTAGGGACAAAACAGCCGAGGTGCTCAGAAGCACGCCTACCAGAGCCGGGTGCCTTCTGACCCCTTCGCCATGCCGGCGCGGGAAGAGCCGGCGGAGGTGCCCTACACCCAGACAGTGCCGGATGACGAGGAGGTCTCGGAATCAGCACCTCGGGAGGATACGACGATTTTGTGGCGGGTGTTCTGGGGGCCAACATGATGGCTGCGCATGCTCATCATTTGTCCTTGGTGCGTGCGCGCTTCCTGCCTGCCTGCCTGCCTGCCTGCCTGCCTGCACGCCGCGTGCGTGAAAGTGAGTATGCCTGCCTAGCATTTGCTTGACCAAATCATCAGTGGGTTCCTGTGATCTTGCTCAATGCGTGCTTCAATCAGAAAGTGTGAGACAGACCGTCATCCTGTTTTTGCCGGAACACGTTTGGTTCCATTAAAGCATACTGAAGCGCTCCGCAAACCGCCGAAAGGCCGCCAACAAGAGACTAATCCTGGGAAAGGGTTGCTTTGGGCCACCAAAAAGACAGGAGGAAAACCCAAGGCCCGTTCCCCCAGCCCCGGTTTGCCTCGCACCTTGCCGGCGGCGAAACCCTACGAATCTCTCTGAGGACTCGGATGCGGAGGAGGCGCGGCCGATCCCGCCGCTGGTGCGGCGGGAGCGCGAAGAGGAAGGCGAAGAAAGCTTGAGGAAAAGGCCGTAGCAAAACGAGGCAGACGGGGTGTGGACATCTTTTTCGAGGGTACTGTCTTTGGGGTATCTCTTCGGGGGTAGATTGAAAGGGACACCCAAAACGGAACCGCCTTTGTTGGGGTGCCCCCAGTTTGACAGAAGCCCAAGAGGTGTGGGAAATGCAGTACATCTGGGGAGTACACCGAGTGCACCCCTGGGGGAGTGACGCAAAATGGTCCAAAAGGAAGGCGGCATTTCGTTCACTTTCTTTTCTTTTTCTTTTTTTTGGGGGGGAGGGTCAAGGGGGTGGAAGACATTCGAAGACGGTATTTTGGCGACTGAAGCTCATTGAACTCACCCTGCTTGGAACGGGTGACGAGATGCTTTTGACTTGAATCTCTCGCGTCATTGGTGTTTAGACGCTCCAAGCTGCACATTCCAAAAAACAATGAACTGCAGCTTGGCGCTTGCGGACATCGGAACCCAGGAATAAAGTTCGGGTGTATCAATAGGGGGGGGTCCCATTCTAGGAACAATGCCTCACTCTTTTGGAAGCACCCTGACAGGTGTTGCTTTCATTTGGGTTCAACCTTGATTAGAATTCTGACCCTTCCACAAGTGACCAATGTTTGGGCGTCCTGTTGGGCCAAACTTCTGTGTGCCAATTGGTTTGGCGTATTCCTTGCCCCTTGCCTGAAGCCAAAGCTCTACTCTCCCACAAAGAAAGTCTACAAGGTGTACCACTCCATAATCAACACTTTGGGGTAGCTCAAAACAGGCGTCCCCAAGAAGGGAACCCTCCAAGAATTGGTCGGTTTCCTGTTGGCTTCCCTTTGCATGGAGCCCACAAAGGAGGTCCCCCAACAGAAGATTCCAGGCATGTTGGTTTTGGGGTTCCTATCTGACCCCGACTTCGGTCGAATACCAAGGTTGGACATGTCCCAGCGGGAGTTCAGGAAGGTGCAGGGCGAGGCCCTTCGGCCAATCGATGAACCGATCGGGCTTAGTCTTTTCACAGATCCAGTGGGTTTTCCAGAAAGCCCGGCCTCCGGTTCTAAACAAACAGGGGCCGATCTCTTGCGCAAAAGGACAAAATCAGGTAGCATCCCGAAAGGAGGTGACCCAAGCTCAGTGGCACTCTCCAGATGCCTTTTTGTTTGGGTTCCCGACTCACGCATACCCCAAACAGGGTTTCAATTATTGTTCCACGAGAACCTTTGGGCAAGGCCGAGGGTGCGGCTTTTGGGAACCTTTTTGTTCAACCTAATGTGTATTTCAACTGTTTGATAATTTGTAACTCATTTACTTTCCTTTTTGAGGGGGGAGGGGCCGGGCGGAGGGGCAGTTGTTTGACACCAAATGGACATCAGCAGTTCCCGTTTATGGACAAACCAATATGAATACGCATAAAGATAATGCGACAAGATGTCCATGCCTTTTCTGGTCACCCGTGAATCATATGGTTGAGGTCTCAGGGAAAAAACTGAAGCAGCAGAAACACAACATGACGTGTTGGTTTTTTGCTCCTGACAGAAACATTGGTATGTCGCTCACCGACCCAGTGTCGATCATATGTTGTGATTTTGATGGCTGGATTCCGTGGACACAAGAACGAGTGAAGCGAAGCAAACATGTCTGGCACCTGAGATAGCCCTCTTCATGCTTTCACCGTCCTTTTTTTTGTTTTTTTTTTTGGGGGGGGGTTGTGTTCAAGGAATGTTGTGATTAATGTTAAACGTTGATCAGAAGCTCCGTGGTGATGGATTCCTTCACGTTTCGGTGCACGGCATCATCAAAATCCAACAGGTTCGACTGACACGGGGCGTCAACATAGAAGGTGTCCTCATGTCTCAGCTCTTTCAAGGGAAATTGTTTTAAGAAATCAACAAAAATCCCGAAAGTCCTTCCTAGGGATGCCTTGAGATCCCAGCCAATCACTCCAAAGCCCGTGAGCGCCTTGTTCGCACCGGGCAACTGGTCACTGGCACTGGGCACCGCACTGCCGAAGAGCCACTCGGGAGTGTTCTTGAGGCTACCCTCTTCACCTTGGTTTAAAGGAAACGACAGGGAAAGCCACATGTTTTCAGGGTCCAAACATACCCACTTTTCAACTTGCGCGGAATACATGGGGATGCGCAAAGAGCGAACTGAAATTCTATGTTTAGGGGTTTTGGTATAGAAGAACATTTCGCTAGCGGATCAATCCTTGTGACTCATGTTGCCATATGAGTTTTGTATGTCCAACACCAATGGTGGTTTGCCATTTGGAGCTGAGCCCATGTGAGCCCATTCCACGAACCCTCAAGCCCTTTTCTTGTGGCACCAAAAAGCATCCTCTATCAGACCCCCATCCTTTTGGGTGAACCCCCTTTTGGTTGGAAAGGGGACACCACCAAGTCACGGAACCACCAACCACCAGCGGCGAAGCGAGACGTTCGTTCTAACCCGACAGGTGGGGGGCCTGGCCAACTCCATCGAGGAGCTGCAGCTTCAGCTCGAGGACTCCAAGGCAAGCGGACCGATGCGCGCGGTTCCCCGCAGGTTTCGAGCAAAGAGGCCCCCAAAGGCTTGGGGTCTCAGCCTCCCAATGGAACTGCACAGGCTGTTGGGAAGACTACTTGAGAAGGCGTCCTGTGCGCTCGAGTGGTCTGGTCAAGAGATCATGCTCAGTCAAGGGACACCTTTCCGTTTGTTGGCTGTTTTCAACAGGACCACTACTCTTCAGTAAGAATCCCTGCACCCGTTTTTTGTTTTTACTCAGCGGACTGCGAGTGAACATGGGATTGTGGGCCTTGGGGTTGGAGAGTCTTTCAATGGACATCATCTTTGGTTCCCCTGCATTCGTCAGACTTCCGAGGGTTTGTCGGCAAAGAGATATTTGCGTAGCAAGTATCCTGCTGACAGATTGGGTGAGATCTACACAGCCCGATAAACCTGGGCTATGGTTGCAGCGCGACTTTCATCACACGTCGGTTCAATTGGGCGTTTGACTTGGGGTCGTCCAGCTAGCAAGGATTGGGTCAAGGGGAGACTTCGCCAGCAGTGAACTGCAGAAAGTGCTCAGAGTTCGAGGCTTTTGGTACTCCCTCTAAAAGGCGGCACTAGGCGGCATCAGCGTCCAAAAAAGGCTACACTGTGGATGGACAAACTCCCACCAGTTGATAGGTGGGTTATCCCTGTATTTCCTAGAGCTTCATCCATCCCAAGCGGTACAGCAGTTTGTGCATCCAGCTGGAAACCAAAAATGGTGGCTCGTTTTGGCTTTCCTTGTGAAATAAGAAATCGGGACCCTTAAAATGACCCAGCCCCATTCGCCACCCCTCCTAACGCGCCCAGGAGCTTGTGCGAATCTACCGCCAGCGGAGCAACGACTTGGACCAGGACCTAAGGCCACTGGCTTGGCGCGTGGGGACGGCGCGCGCGCGTTACCAGCCTTGGGCAGCACAAACGGGTGTTTGCGGGGACCCCCCCCTGCCAAAATGCGGGTTTTGCAAAACCGCACGTCATGTTTCATAGCGAAAGCAGACCGCCATCCACTCTCTCGCAAGGAAGGCGAACGAGCGCATCACTGAGACCCAAGAGCGCGAGTACCAGCTGAAAGTGGAGTCCAAGAGGCGCTCAGCGCAATCTCGGCGCAAGCTGCTGGGAACCGGGTGTATGTGCATCCTTATGTACTATACTATATGGTATATACAAGGGTGTATACTTGGGACAATTATTCCTGGGCATGTGCTTATTCCCCTTGTCAAGTTTGTTGATCACACAGAATTAGATACACAGCTGGATTTTCAGTTCGAGCATAGCCCCGGGCGATCAACGGGGAAAGAGGACGCTCCCGGTACGAAGAGGACAGGATGTCACAATGGCACCCTGGTTGAGGAGTGGGGAAGCATCTGGCTCATGTCATGTTTACTACACAAAACCCCTTCAGATGTTCAACACTATTGGGGTTGGTTCCCTTGTAACCTGGATTGCGATTTGGTTTTATTTTTAACCTTCAACTTGTTTTCGCAACATGCGTGTTTTCCCACTGGCCAGCAAAAAGCTATGCGCTTTGCTTAGGCTATAGTCATAGAGTCAGAGCCACAATCCAAGTCGGGGGCAGACGAAGGTTGGACGCGGCTGTCCTTTGAATTCTATTGCTTTCAGTGGTTCCCTTATATGCATCATAGAAACCAGGTCCAGGTACAGGAATTTCTACAGCAGCTGGGCCGAGCAACAAAAGCAACAAACATCCTGTAGAAATTCCTGCTTTCTTGGATCACAAGCAGAACCTAGCTGGGTATTGAACCTCTCCGCCGCCGCAGTATGACGCAAAAGCTCGCGAAAGAGCAGGACTGTCAGACTGCGATGGAGCGGCGCGTTTTTGTTTCTTTTCTTTTTTTTTGGGGGGGGACCCCCTTTGGGTTGGTTTAAAAGGGAAACCAAAAGGACACCAACCATACATATTTTTGCGAGGGTTCCCCCACGACTCCACATCTTGACGTTTGTTTTTTGGTCGAGGGGCAAAAGCTGAGGTGGCTTTTTGTCGTGTCATGCGTTCCTTTTCCGTCAGGATGTCAATGCGGATCTCTTGGAGAAGGCACCTGACCTCAGCAATCGGCCCCTAGGGCCCTAGGTCCCTCTAGGATGCAGGGGTCCTCCAATGTCCTTGTTTGGTTGGGCTAAAGTTTCTGGTGGGTGGAGTGACGTTTCAATGGAACGTATCCGGAACCTTAAGCAACCGGGGCTCATTTTTCTTGAATTCCCATGAATTTGATGTCAGCTCAAAGAGTCTGACGGCTTCAAGAGTCTCACACGCACTTTGTCACAGGCATGCAGTCAGCAGACACAGAGCTCGTCAGCCTAGCTAGCCGGCCATTGTCCTTTTGGCTTTGAAGGGTGGACTATTAAATTTCAGACCCACATCTGAGTTGAAGCTTGGAGCCGGCCCATGTCTTTTGCAAGAACCACACCCAGGGCCCCTCCCATCCATTTACATTTAACCTGACCGAGGGCCTCTTGGTTTGGGCCATGTTCCTTGCAGTTCCCGTGGCAACGCGGAGCCAACTGCTGAGGGACAGAGGGAATGCCACCCCTATGAACCATTTGGTTTCAGCGGTGATCCCTTCGGTTTTTCAGTCCCAAAACCCCCGCCCGGAACTTCCCCAACCAGCAACTCTGAAGGCCACGAATCCTTCCACGAGATTCTGCCGACAGGTAGAGCTCATGAATACCCAGCTGCAGGAGACCCAGCTCAAGTGCGCCTCTCCCCCTGTTTCGACCAAAGAACACCGGGACAAACACCTTCCACCTGGCGCTGCGTGGCAAGTGCGCCAGGATCAAAAGACCCTTAACTTGGACATAGGGAATTAGGCAACCACTGTGAGGGTTCCCATTTAGGGATCCATGATTCCATGATCATGACCAACATAGCCATTTGCGCTCAAGGCGCTCCATTCGCTTGTGGCGGAGCTACCAACTTGGGGGGTGTTCGAATGGGCATTTTCATGCCCATACGATGGTATCCCTTCTCATTTCTACATGTGTCTTTGATATTTCTTGGGTATGTTCTGTTCATTCAATGTCCCTTTTTGTCAAGGTGCAGCTGCGTTTTGAAGTTTGCGTTGCCCCCAGAGATTCTCATGCCTGGTGGCTCGCTTGGCCCCCACCGCCGCCTTCTGGGTGGCTTGAGCTAGTTAACATTGTGAAACTTGTGCGAGAGCCAAGGGTGAGTCAGTGCCTGCCAAAATAGCACAAAGGCACCACATATCAAGGATTCGTGTCGCGTATCCAAAAGGTACACCACATTAGCCCCAATGCACAAAGCAAGCCCACAAAAACATGCCCCACATTTGAAAAGTGCGCCTGCCTTCCCCATTTTACTTGGTCCATGAAAGTAGTTTCGGATTTCATTTTTGATGGGGTCTCAAACTCGCTTTGGCAATTGGGGGGTTTCATCTCTCTTGAACCCACTCAGAGGAGTTTTCTGAGGGGTTTCCAAAGTCCGATTTCCCCCATCCCCCACCCTTTTTTTTGCCACCTTGTCTTCACGGCTTCTTTCCAGTCCGGCTCGGGTTCCAGGTACGCCGCCATCAAGAGCCAGGAGGAGGACCTGCTGGAGCAGATCAGCAGGCAGAGCGAAGAGAGGTGTTGGGTCAAATGAAGTTTCCCTTTTCAGGGCTCAGCTTCTCTAGGATGAACTGTTTGCTTTGCGAATACCCCCAACCTTTTTTGAGCGAATTGAAACTTTGCCAGAGCCGGTCGCCGGCGGAATGGTGTGAAGATTGCTCTCGGATCCTTCGGTCCAATTCTGGGTGATTTTGTTTGAGCCGCTCTCAGGTAGAACTTCCCCTACCAGGTCCGAAAGTATCCAACCTCACCAAATTAAAAGCAAAATCCAGGGGACTCACTCACTAAGATTCCCACGTCCTGTAGGGGAACTACATATTTTGCCCGTGGCTCAAATGATCCGGTCTTCAAAAAAGGGTGACCGGTCATTGGAGAGCCGTCAAACGTCCAACATAGGGCGCAAGAACCCGTCCATTCGAGCTTTGCCCCAGGCTCAAGGAGAAGGTCCAGGCTCCGTGGGATTTTGGCACTGACAGTGAAGCGCCTGGTGCTCATACGGTCAATCTGAGGATTTTTGTGTTGCATCCTGGGATTGCACCGACCAAGTTCTCTGCAATGATCTTTTTCCGGGCTTCCGGGATTGGGTCCTTTTATGCTCCTTTTCCAGCCAACATTCTACCCTTGGGTCTTCGGAGCAACCGTGTGCCAGCTCGCTGGCAGGAAGGTTTGGCACGACGCATTTGCTGAACTTGTGAGTTCGTTGCTGTCTGCGACTCATGGAGCTTGTCGAGATTTGAATTGATGCAACGCCTCCCCGATCTCGGCGAATCGCGCCTGCAGTTTTGTTCGGGCCACAATGGCACGCGGTTCTATGATCGACAATTCCAACTCGGAACTGTTTTGCTTTGTTTCCCTTGACAAGAGGGTCAACAAAAGAAAGACCACTTTTTGATTCCCTAGACGCGCCCTTTGAGCGGATGCCCGAAACAAAGGTCACCATTCTGTCAAGCATCCTTAACTCTTGGCTTGGTTCTTAGCTTTGCTCCGCTTTTTCCGTTCTACTTCACGTGAATCTCAAGGGACTCTAAGTGAGCCAACCTGAAAAAGGTACCCTTAAAGAAGCACGCACCCTGCTAGTTGTGTCAAGAGCTGGCCAGTGAGCGGGCTCCTATCCTTGCCAGGATGCTACTGAGCGGGGCGATATCCTGGAAAGGGGCTGGGCACTGAACAACTTGGTTGTACCAGAGCCTTTACTCCCCCAAATCCACATGGAACCCAACCAGCATTCAGTTTTCGGCACGGCATCTCTTTTTGGGGAAGGACCCCTTTGGAGGGTGCAGGATCATTTACAGGGGATTCACCTTTTTACACGATCCATGACATTGACTGTTTTTTGGGGGTATCAAACTCACAAACTGGGGTCGTTTCCCGGGTCCCTCAAACTACCACCAGGGGGTGACTTTGATGATGGTAAAACAATGGGCCCAATTACTTCGTGAACAAATGACAGTTTCCCCACTAGCCGTTCCAACACCAGTCATGCGGGAGGGTCTATCACAGACCGCGAGCCACTTGCAATCTCTCCCCCGAAATGCTTGGCCCCCAATCCCCAAATCTCAGGGAGCAAGGGTCCCTCCGGAATCCCCAATGTCATAAGAGGTATCGGAATCGTTACGTCAATTTGTGTGTGTTTACGTATTTTGCATATGCCATGTTGATGAAGCACTCGCCAGGAGGAAGGATCACCATTTGCAGTTTCATGGCCTTTTTGAAAAAGGGCCCGACCTCAACAGGAATGTTTGGGTGGGAAATGTAGTTTGACCAGCGTGAATCAAATGCTTCACGCATCCAAATTGAACGTCTGGCGTTCGCTTGGTCGCATTTGGCCAAAGGTCTGCACCACTCAGAGACCCAGCGTGAGGCAGGAGAGATCAAGCATTTCCGAAACCATTGTTGGAAGAGGGTTAATCATGGGTTCCATTTTTGCAGTGCTTAAGGTAGACTTAATCTCCTGGGTTCCCTTTTGGGGAAATGAACCACCTATGGGGTTTAAGTCTACCCTGGGGCAATCAGAACATGGAACCCTGGTTCAACCATGGTACAAGAAGCTGGGCGATGAGGGGTATAGGGGTGGCTAATGGTGAAATCAACTCTGGTACATCCACCAGCACAAAGTCGGCGCTCTTAAGATCCTGCAAGGGGTTTCCAACTGGCTTCATGGGAGGGACAGTGAGGCCTGCAGAAACCTTTCATGACTTTTCTGGTAGTTCAAACAAACATGGTTAATGAAGCTGAGTTGAGCTTTCCTGGACCCTTGGCCTTTGTGGACCAAATGATTTGCTTGTGGCATGTTGCTTTTCCATGATCCTACTTCAATGACCTTTTTAGCTTATTTAGATGATGGGTGCGTGCTGCAAACAACAGTTGGGGGGTTCCGGGGGGGAGGGGGGGGAAGTTGTGCAGCAGCCCTTCGTTGCCTATCTATCATTGCGTCCCTCAGCTCGTTATTTAACGATAATGTCATTTGTTTGGTTTCCGGATACAGGTTTTTTGGAATGGGCCTGGGTCAACTTCCACTCTGCTGCCTCTCTGCCTGGAAACAATGCGCAAATACCCATCATCTAGTATTTCAGCGAGGTTATGCGCGCATGTTCACCCAATTTTCCCTCTCGGGATCATTTGTCTCGTTTGTTTTTCCTGTCCGAATGGTCTGAGTGGAAAGACATCCGCAGAGGTCTTCAAAGACCAGGCCACCAATCTGCGCCTTGGCACTCATCAGACGGGGCCAAGGGGACATTTGATTTGGGTGTGTGTCTAGAGTTGGTACCCCTTTTCACTTTGGTTCAAACGGAACCCAAAAGGGGAATCAGATTCTGTTGGGCCACCCTGTTTTTTGACGCAAGCCCATTTTGACGGGTTTCTCAAACTTAGTTCTAGGGGGCGGCTTCTCTTCAAGGCATTGGGGGGTCGTTTTGAGCCATTGGAAGGGTCGTTCCGATGACACTTCCGACCGTGTCTGGGGGAGGGTATCCGATTCGCTTGGAAGAAGTCTGCACATCCAGACCGCGGATCATGGCATTGCTTCTTTGTAAGCTACTGATTCCCATAAGCCAGGCTTTCATATTTGTGCGATTCATTTGCAGGTTCACATACTAAGCCTTCGAGTTAAAAGCTGGGTTGGACACACCGCCTGGCACAAGTCTGCCTTTGGCTGAGGAAGGAAGAGGTGCACGAACGGCAGACCAAGCAGCTGCCCTAGTTGAGACGGCGCGAGACCAGGGGGTTGCTCTGAACCTCAAAAGCAAGGAGCAAGCCACAGATGAGACAATTGCTTTTTCTTTTGCAGCGGTCAGCCTTCTACCCTTTCGACTGGGTTTTTTGGAGCAAGACAACCATGATTGTTGTGTAGTGTACTCTGCAGCCGTATGGCACAACCCCCAACACAAATGCTTATCATCAGGTTCGTGGGGATTTTTGGGAAGCACCGTGCCCGATTTTACCGTTTGAACATCTGTTGGTTGCCGACGTATTTCGGGAGTTTCCTCCAGCCATGTTTCAAAAAGGTTGGAGTCATGCGGTAAGCCCTCGGGCTTACCTTCCAGGCTCCGGAGCGCCAAGAAGGAGATCCAGATGACGGTTTGGGGCCCCAATACATTTCTGCAGTGAGCTTAGGGAAGAAGAGCCAAAAAAGGGGCACGTGTCTAAAAATGGGGAGGATCCCAAACGTGGAGGTGTTCCTTTTGGTTTTGGTTTCCCTTAAAACCACCCCGAAATTGTGCTTCTCCCTTTGGTTGCAGTTTCCCTTCAAGTCAACCTGAGAGGGGTACTTCTTAGCCCCCTGGTGGCTTAACACTGCGTGGTGACTGCAATCTGGAAAGAGACAGTGCCGTGGCTGTTCAGTGCCCCTGAAACCCTGAGACGAGGGATGGGTTGAGGTCTCCCGCATCGCTAGCCCAACTGAAAGGGCACCAACCAGTCAAAACCAGTCAAAACCAGTCCCCCCTTTTTCAGGTCCCTTTTGAGTTTGATTCTGCGCACGTCCCGACCCGTCGGATCCTGGCGATGGGCGGCCCAAGCTGCTCTGAGGTCACGGACCTCGAGAGCCTCAGGGTGCGCCCTCGAGTCGCGAGAGACGAAGCCTTCCGAAGGGTTGAAGCGTTGCTCCGTGTGACCGAAGAACTTTGGTACGGGACACAGGGGGGAAGGGGGGAAGGGTAAGGCGTGGGTTCCAAAGAGCCGAATTTCGGCCCATCTTTGGAGGAATGTCGGCTTGAGCACAGGAGCAATCGATGGGCCATTTTGTGGAAACATTGTAAGTAAGCAGGGCAAAGCTTTAGAACCTGTAGAAAGAGGAGGACGCTATCCAGGTACAGTTTCAAGCAAATACGATTTTTTCATATCAGCCTCCAATATTGGAGAAGTTAAGCTTTGGGAATCTGGATTCTAGTTGGCAGTCATTAACTCTGAAAACTGGCCCAAACAACCACTTGCAGAACGAAAAGCTCAACATTGAACTGGGTTCTGGGGACATTTGTGGCCCACTTTGGTATCACAGAAAGGGTTCTTTCCCACAATGTGTCGGATGTTTCAAAAGGGGAAACCAAAAGGAAACTGACTACTTGAAGGGGATTCGGTTTTGAGAAACACTCATCTTGGACGAGAGGATCATAGAATGCACCTTGTCGGGCCCAGTCCGTCGGACGGGGAAACCACCGCTTCCATGTGGCTATGATTTTTGAATTGAGAACTTCCCAAGTTAGGACATCAATGTTCCAGTTCCCAATCAAGTTCCCTGCCCCATGTATGCGTCAAAATGGGGATTGGACCCACACATGGCTGTATAGGTGTGTGTTCATTGTTTCCCTTCAAATCGAACCTTACAAAGCACGGAGTCAAAAGGAAGAGGCACATGCCCCGTGGCCATGCCGCTTTTCTGGGCGCCTGCCGCCTGGCAGGAGAGTCACGAGCACATGGCGGAGGATCTCTCAAAGCCCGGTGGCCTTGAGAGTTGAACCGACCTGGCTTTGAAAACACAAACCGCCCAACCTTTTGGTCTTAAACCCAGACTCACCGTGACTCACCAACCAACCTTTTTGGGTGTGTCTTTTGGGTTGAACACAAGAGGAAACCCACCTTTTCGGATTTTTTGAGAGACCAATTTCTCTGGGCTCTGCGATGGTTATGGCAACGGCAAGTATTCACCGTTGCTAACACGTAGCCCACAAAAATCGTCAGAGGAAAGTTCCAGTCAGGTTCCATTCTTGATGGCTGGAGTGCTTTTGAGGCTTGGCCAGTAGTCATGGTCGATTTTAATTTGGGATGGACATGGGGCAACTCACTACATTTTCCGCCAACACCGGGGACTCACTCATTTTCCCATGTTCTCGCTTGTCCAGGGCTCCAAGAGAAAACTTGTCTCGTTCCTGACAGATTCCTCGGACTAACCAAGGAGCGATTTCCTGGGCCTCAGTGACTCTCATTGGGACCAGGGTTTTCAGAGAATTTCAAAGCTTTTGCTCCCGGAGGAGTGGTGACTTTTCCTTGCGAAGTTCCTTTTACACAACAGCGAATTTGAGAACTCTTGCCTTCAAGGGCTGATGGGCTTTTTCTTTTAAACGTTCCTTGTAAAGAGCATTCAAATTACATGCGTCCGTTTCCGAATCTGGTTGGTAGATGATTCCTTTTAAAGCCCTTTAGCAAATGCTAAGATTGCTAAGTTCAAAATTGTTGCTTGCAGATTTGGACTGAATAAGGGGGGTTCCTTTCAATGTCTTTTTTTTTTTTAAACAGTCAAGTTCAACGTGCCGCTTCCAGAGGGGTGGTAGACTTGTCCTTGGGGATTTCCTTTAAACAACACACAGTCAATCTCAAAGCTGCTGCCCTCTTGGACTGGTAGACGTGTCTTCTCAAAGTTCCTTCTAAAAGGCATTCAAATCAATTGCTGTTGTTTCCAAAACTGATTGGTAGGTTATGTTTCCGTTCAAATGCTTTTGTAGCAATTGTCGAATTTTTGTTTTCAGACCTGGTAGGTGTTTTTTCCTTTCAAAGTTCCTTTTGAAAACAGTTATTCTCGAAGTGTTGCTTTCAAGAAGGGTGGTACGTTTTTCTCTTCAAGGATCTTTAAAAACAACAGTCATTTGAAAACTGCTGCCTTCATTGGAGTGGTATTTCACAACTTGTCCTTTCAAAGTTTTCAGGCAGTCTTCAGACAGCCAAGCTGACAAGGCTAGGTTTTTCAGGGACCTCTCAGCACGTTGTGCATTTTGGGACCTAGTCCCTTATTCCTATTTATCAACGGACCCCAAAGAATAACATCCCTCCAGCTGATCCCCAAACATGTCAATAATTTTAGATTAGCCAATACTAGATCAATACCAAACTCTCCAGAAACCAAATGACCTCAGCCAAGCTCCCCGGATGTGCTTATTCGGGTAATGATCCATAGGGCTGCCTTGCTTGCGCGGTTCTTATTTTTAAGGCCTGCATTTGGTTCCCTTCATAAGGTCTTACTCACAAGTTGTATTCTGAGTGCTTCTTCTCTCAAACCAAACGGTTGTCTTGCGTGAGAGGTGTTTAATAATTATAATTATTTGGGTCTCCATTAGGTTCCCTTCACAAGGTCTTACTCGATAGTTGTATGTTTCTTTCTTTCAATCCAAAGGGTTGCCTTGAGTGAGCGGTTTTGATTCGTAGGTTCTTTTGAACAGATAACAAGGGCGCCTTCCCTGTAGCAGTTCTTACTCGAAAGTTGCATTCTGAACACTTTTTGTGCAATCGAAGGGGTTCCCCTTCCAATTAGAACCCAGCACTAAACAAGGCAGTCCGAAACAGCTTTGGCCAAACACCGGGGGACCCAAAAAATAAAGCCCTCCGAGGATATATTTGTTGGGGTTTATTATTCGGGGGACCGGATTGTTTTGTTGCATCCCGGAAGCTAAAAACAAGGACCATTTGAGCTTCTGGAAGCACAGTATGCTGAGAGGTGTCCATGCCTCTGCATTCGGGCAAATAAACATCCCTACGCGAAACGACCGAGGTGAAACACGCATCGGCTTGATCGGCACATTTCCCAAATCATCTGAGATCTATCTAACGCCAATAAGTCGCCAGGCAACCAGACATAGCAGGCAAAGACAAACCAGTGAAACAAAGCGAGCACACACCTCGAGAAAACCAAAAGCAGAGCATACTGTAATTCTGAAAAAAGAGGCTGAACTAAAGATTAGCCTGATAAGTATGTGATTTCTGTTCTATTGGGGGGTATTGGAGTTCTTGAGTTGTTTTTCTTTGGTGTTTTTGTTCTCTGGCTAAACCGGAGAAAACAAACCCAGCACTTTTTGTGTTGTTCCATATATGCGAGCCAAAACTCGTGCTACTGTTCCAAAACTCCGAAAGGAAAACAACAAACACAACTCGAGGAAACGAAACAACAAAACCAGAGGCTGAACCAAACACTCTCATCAGAATTATATGGTTGGTTCTTTGATACATATGTTGTTTGTTGGTTTTGCCGAGGTTATGATTGGCATGCTATTTTGGAAGCTGGTCCCTTCTGCAACTAAGTCATTATGCAAGGTCATGACATCATCTGCTTCTGTTAAAGCCAACCACCCAATAATGTAACCAAATCTATCACCAAATTATTGGCGGCCAGAATTGCGTGTCAAATGCTTCAAACAAACTGGGTTTTCCAGCGTTTTTTGAGCATTGACAAGCTCGGCGTGGATCTTAGCGGGGGGGGGCATTTCCATATACTATAAACCAACATGGGACCTAACAACTGCAGATGAGTTTTGTGGTTTAATGTCAATTTGCAAGGGAGTATATGATAGGACCAACTGCAGGCTACATTCCCCTATCATGTCTCTCTCATTTGTCGCCTGCAGCACGTCAGGCAGGCCTGAAGTCTTGCTGATCCAGCTTGTTGATGCCCCATTTGATTTCCCGCAAGCTAAAAACAGCTAGGGGTTTTCAAGCACAGGTAACTCTAAACTAGATCATTCACTTCCTAAACAGCGGCCACGCTCTGAGCCCCTGGCCGGACTGCGTTCCCGCGTTTGGCTCAGGACCAAGAAGCAACACTCCGAGATCGCGCTGAAAGCGGAACTCTTGGAATCGGAGCGGGCCGCGAATTGGTTTGCGTGCGGCGCTGCTGCTGCTGCTGCTGCTGCTGCTGCTGCTGCTGCTGCTGCTGTCACATTGGCATGTCTGGAAGGGGGACCAACAAAAAGCGGTTGTCCGGTGCCCTCCACAAAAACCACATGCCGCGGCCCGCAGGAGCTGTTGGAGGTGAAGGACAAGCTTAAAATCAAGGTTCGGCAGGTGGCCTGGGGCCTCAGTAGCAGTCACGAAGCGTCTCGTGGAAAGCGGTTTAGCTCTCTTGCGTGTGGGGGGCTTCTGCTTCCTCGGTTTAAATCAGGGGAAACCGAGAGGAAACATGTTTGCCGTCCAATTTGACACATACCCGTATCAGGTTGGGCCTCTGGGATATATAGCCGTATTGGTTCAGCCACAGGATCCTTGCAAAGCGCCAAGTGCAATGGATCCTGCAGGGGCAAAGATCAGGTCTACAGTGGGGGGGGGGCGTTTCTATCCCAGGCAAAGCTTGAGACAGTTGTGGATGAGCTCAATAACAAGCCTTGGCCCCAGTGCGGCTCTGGCCAAGACCTCACGGGAGTCAACAGGTGACATTCAAATGCGCCTGTTTTGAGACAAACCACCATGCTTAAAATGGCTGGAAATGTTGGTGGAATCCCTGAAGCATGGTGGTTGGATATTAAATGACGTCCACCAACAGTATACTGCCAATGATATTGTCAGTGACTCGTGTCGACAGCCTCGAAGAAAAGATGCCAGGGCTCTCTGATGGTGAGCTTGAAACCGTGCCACTGGCTTCGCACTCAACAACAGTTGCGTGGTCCTGTAAAACTCCTTCGTATATGAATTTATCATTGGAATGATGGTGTGGGGAGCACATGGGGGAGCACCCAAAGTGCCCACAAAAGCCGTGAGGGGTATCATATCACGTTTGTCCCATTGTTTTCTTTTCTTCTGGGAACAAGAAGTTTTATTGATAGGATTCTATTGCACGGATCCCATTTTCAGCCAGGGTTGTTGAATGTACCGGGTGTGCACCTAGAACCCCAATTGTCTCAGGGTTTCCTTACCACTTGTTGGGAATACACCAACAGACTCCAAGTGGGGTAACCCTCACAATGGTGTTTTTCCTCTTAGCTTCCTGTAACAGGGGTCCCCAAGAGCACTTCACACATACATACAAATACACAGAGACATGCCGTGTTTCACGCGGCTCGTGCCCAAAGCGTAGATGGCGGCTGGAGGGAGACGGGGTGCGACGCCAGGCTGGGGGACGCCCTTTTCGAGATCACCGAGGAGAGGCAGAAGTCCAAGACCTGGGCGTGGAAGCCTGAAATTGTTCACTGGCTGCTGTTGGGGTCCCATAGCGGATCAAAATGTTCAAAGCACCAGGCTCTGGTGCTGTTTGAAGGGAACAGGAGGTGGGCGAAAATTCGTGCTGACTATGTTTGAGCAGATGACCCGCTGACCATAGCCCCTTTTCTCGGGTTTTGTGCGGATCTTTTTGCTGGGTGCGCGGAGTTTTGATTTGGGCTGAACAGCTTAGCTCTTGGAGGTTGGATATTGATGGATCCCACTGGTTTGAGTTTGGTTCCAATCATTTGCTAGTGGGGTTGCGTGAGACCTATTTTCCCAAAAGGACACCCTCAAGGCAACTTCCCATTTGGAATTCCGGTTGCCTAAAGTTGCACACCCCTGCAGATTAGCACGAGCTCCAACAAACGCTCATTAGTAGAGGAAGCCCCTTTGCGGGACCTCGTTTCTTGGTTCCATGCTATGTTGCAGGTGATGTAGTGGAATATATATTATATTTGCAGCCCTCTACGCTTGAGCACCATTTTTTGCCTTGTGCTACTCAGGTGCTTCACCGTTCGAACTGCACAGTGCTTGAGTTAGTTTCTACAGAGATTGGTTGCACGGGGTTTCTGTGGAGCAACCTGTTCTTGTACTTACAAGTTAATTACTGTGTTGTTCTGCAACGGGAGCCCACCCATCATGAAGATCCCTTGCAATTACAATAACTAGTGCAGATGGTTGCCTTTGGACATTGGTCCCTGTGGTGCGTTACATGGGAAGCATGAAAGGGGGATTCTGGAAAGCTGAGGCGAAAGCTGAAGGCTAGTCCATCATGAGCTTCTTGCCAGGTCCACTTCAACTTCAGTTTGATTTTGGGCAGGCTCCGCATACCCCCCGCGCAACCCATGTGCCTCTGACCTCTCGTGCCCAAAGGTCGACCAGATCGCGGAGAAGGATGCTAAGCTGAAAAAGATCGAACACGAGGCGGGGCTAAGGTGTTGCGCCAGCAAGTACATGCCTAATACCTTTCATAGAGTACGTTACATTATCTTATGAACAGTTTTGTATTGCATTGTATTTCCTTGCTTTCTTTTGCTTTGCTTTGTTGTGTTGCATGTTGCACTGCATTACTTTGAGTTGTTTTGCGTTGTGCTAGCAATCATTCTGTCAGTTGCTCACTGCTACAGCTTGGCAGTATGGTTTCCGGATTAGTCCTCTGATACTTCCGTCTAGCATGCAAACAAAAGCAGGTAGATTGCGTCACATACACATCATATGTATGTATGTATGTATGTGTGTTATAATAATGATGATAATAATCATCATAATAATAAAGTCAGGGTAATAATCATGATTATGATGGTGGTGATGATGATGATCACAATAATGAGGAAACATGTAAACATGATGATCATGTCAATAATAGCAAAGCAAATAAGGCTAATAACAACGATACACATAATGATAATAATAATAATAATAATAATAATAATAATAATAATAATAATAATAATAATAATAATAATAATAATAATAATAATAATAGTAATAATGATAATAATGATAATAATGATAATAATAATAATGATAATAATAATAATAATAATAATAGTAATAATAATAATGATAATAATGATAATAATAATGATAATGCTGATAATAATAATAATAATAATAATAGTAATAATAATAATAATAATAATAATAATAATAATAATAATAATAATAATAATAATAATAATGATAATAATAATAGTAACAATAATTTTAATGACAACAATAATACAAATGATAAGTGATACCATCAATACTCATAATACTAACACTACAACAAATGCTAATGCTAATGCTAATACCGATGCTAATACTGATAATGAGTAAGAAGCACAACAATAGCAATAGTAACAGTAACAACAATAATAACAATAATAATGGGACAACCATAGTACTGATAATACTATGCGAGGAAATGCGCACACAACTTTTATGACCTGACACATCTTGTCAAACACTCCTCTCGCCTTCCACTATGGTGCCACGCGTCGTTGGCACCAGGCGTACTTCTCCAAGGAGTCCGTGTTCCGCGTTTGCGACGACATCAAGGAGTTCCAGGACGCACTTGATATTTGTGTGTGTGTGTGTCAAAATGGGGAACTCCAAAAATGTTTGCTTTGAGGTAATTCAAGAAACACACCCATTTGTTGTATGCTGATTCAAAGCCATAAGGGGGGGACACATTGTAGCCTTGCGACCACCCTCCCATGGCGCCTGCTATGGCTCCGAATCAGCATGTGAGGCAGGTTGTTTCCCGAGCCGTGGCTCAGTGGTGTAACTGTCTTTGGGGGTTGTAAGGATGTTTCAATGAACTTAAGTAGGGAACCACGTCAAAAGTGGATGATGTGATTTGTCCCAAATACCTAAATGTATGGAAGGACTCATCGGGTGGGCTTCCCACTTCGGTTTGGGACCAAAAGCCCATATGCCTGAAGGGTCGGGGTGGTTCTAGCTGAGATGTTCGGCGCAACAAGCGTCAGGAGCAGCAAGAGAAGCTGAAGCTTGAAGGAAAAGGCTTGGAAGGCCAGCGAGCCACCAGTCTGTCGGTTTCCGCAGGTGGGGTTGCCGACAGTGGGTGGTTTTCCTTTGCCTTATCAGAAAGAGGAAGAAAGCAAGTCCCAAGGGTCGAAGTGGAGCCTCCTTTAGCCCACGTTCAAAGCGGATCGCAGGCATGGTGCCGTTTCATTTCTGACCTTCCGGCTGGTTCAAGTACCCATGGGAATCATCACGCCGAGCAGAACGGCGTGCAGTGATAAATGTAGGCGGGTATGTCTCTTGATTCTTTTTGAGGGTAGCCTTTTTGTGTTTGCATGTTTTGAAAGAGACACCCCAAGCTTTGGGGTTCCACATTTTTGACATACACCCGTATGGGTCAATGGAGCCTGGCCAGTCAAAAGGGTCATTGTATTCGGGGTTCTGCCTTTCGCAACCATGTAGTGCTATGACGAATGACGCCCTGGGACGGGCAACATCTCTCGCCTGACTGCGGTTCCTTCCTAGCGTGAGATTTCTCACTCCCTGTTGGTTGGTAGTTCAAGGAAAACCACGAAGATACGAGCCACTTTAGGGTACTACCGATTTTGAGAGTCGGCTGAGCGTCGGCACGTCGTCTTCTTCAGGTGAGATAGAGACATGGCAGCAAAAGTTCGAGGAGTCGCAGGTGGAGGCAGGGCCTTTCGGCCCCAAACTCGCAAGCTTCCTTTGGGCAGTGCTAGGTAGCTTAGGGCCCCGGGCTAAATGGTTTCTGAGGCGTAGCAGTTTGAAGGCTGGCGACGTTGTGGCCAGGCGCAAACTTCCTAAGAAAGGAATGGGGCATGAGGAACTTTGGCAACCCGCAGAATTGACGTTTGCCATGGTTTGCAGGTTCCCTTTCTCCACGGAACCATGATGCGATGGCCATAAGGTGTTTGACCACATGTTTGACAAGACTTACACAGATGGTCAACCATGATGGTCAAACACCTGATGAATACAATAGAAACACAAAATCGGAGCTGGGTATGTGTCACAAACAGGGGGAACCCTACAATTTTGACTTATCTTGTTTGTTTCCCTTTCAACCAAGATGAAAAGGGTACTGTATTCGTATCGTGAAGTCACACATGCTGGTGGATGGTCCAGAGTGAATGGCACCTGGGAGCTCGTGTCAATGGCAGGTGGCGAGGCTGAAGGACATCAACTGGCGCATCGCGCAGGATGAATTAGCGAGAGGGGGGAGGGGGGGGGGGCTGGCGAAGGGGAAAAACCATACGAAAATATGCGCGGTGTTCACAAGTGTGCCATGTTCAGAGTGGCGCATCCAGATTACACTGATCAATGTGAAAGCCAGAAAGCCACCGGTTGTGGAGACTCTCCTTGCGGGGGAATCCCGTTTTGGGTTCCGTGATGTTCCATGTCAATCTGGAGGGGGGTAATATATAATTAAAGGACTAAATAATTGCGGTCTACTCCTGTAAGAGCGCCTAGAGCCTCATCTTGTTTTTCCCCTTGTGGGAGGATTGATGCCAGGATCTGGAGACCTCCAAGCTCAACCTCAGAGATGTGGAGGCGGGTGACGGGCTGCTCTCCCTGGTGCTCTCTTTTAGTATCGGATCCAGAAAAGCTGCATCCGAATCCCCTGACCTGAACCTCATCTTCTAGACGACCTCGGGCATTGAGCCACAAACAGGATAGAAGGCTAGGGAGCAGACCTAAGTAGGTGCAGACATCCTTTTTGACTCTTCTTAGCGTTTTGTAGATTTACAATGTGTTGATTGAACCCCAACTAGCATAAAAGTGCATGCGCCCCGTTTTGAAGGATTACTTTCGTTTCAGACAGCAGAGTACTGCCAAACTTCCTGCTTGCTGCAAATTGAAATGGCAGCAATGAAAGGGCTCCCGGTGCATTTCCATGATGGGGGGACAACTCAGTTGCCTCGATTCTGGATACAAAAAGGGTACTTGACATCAAAGAATGGTTTCGCCTTTAAACCGATTCAACAACAGCAAACGCACAAAGCAAAGCATGATTGCAAACATGAAACAAATGCAGCATTACAAACTCAGAAAGGGTGACACCCAAGGGTGAAATCCATCAGGGGCTCGTGTTTTTTTCCCCCCAGCAGGCCATGGTGAAGAAGACGACCACAGAGCTCAAGTCCGGCAAGGGCCGCATGGTGGACGCGGAGGCGAGGCAATCCGATCGAAGCATACACTCCCCCCCCCCCCGCCAGGGCAAACCGGCGGCGTTGGTCCTTCTCCGGTAGTCAGTCTCAAAACCACCCCTCAAAATACTCTGCTATGCCTTATGCCTTTGGGTGTTAAGAAAGCTGCGCAGCACATCTTGTTTGCATTCCCCATGCTTCAAGAAGGCTTTCCACATTGCGCACCCGGTTCTCAACTGAGAACTGGAGGTGTTGCCACCTGTTCAGGTTCGACTTGATCGAGGCTTCTCCCTTTTTACGTGCCCTTCGAAAAACTATAGTCTTCAAAATTCCTGCTTTCAGCTTGGTTTGTCCTACCGACCAATTTTTAGTTGGAAGAGCCGCAATGGCTGCTTGTCAGCTTCCATCGGGGACCCCTTACTCAACCCCAATCCCGTTTTGGGGTCAAGGGAAAGGGGCAACCGCGAGGCCCGAAATATCGAGCTCAGCTCCAACGTCTCGAAGCTCATGGAGGCTTCCCAGCTTCGTGCTTTCGAAGGCCCAACTGTTCAGTGGCACCCCTTTTCCCTCTTAGTGGCTTCCCCACCAGGGTCAACAACTGGGAAGTGAGAAGGTACGCCAAGGCCAACCAGTTGATCCGAACTTAGCCCGTTGAGCACATCCCCCAAACGTCTCTCTGAGGTTGGGGCAAACTATGCGGATTTCTATGGCCAGTTTTGGAGAGACATGTGGAGGGCCACTGAAGTTCCCACAAAAGCCGGTGGACGAAACCCCAATGCTTCCGTGAACATGGGGGAAGGGCAGGATGGGCCCTTCTGCGCTTTTTTCCAAAAGAAACAACACTGCAAGAAGCAGGGGAAGCCATCCTCCGCTGCAGATTCAACATGAAGCCGTAAGTAAAACACCCTCATTCTTGGAGGAAACTCCGTTTGAGGGGTCCCCCGTTTTGGGTGAACCCGTGTTGTCTCGCAGCAGAATAAACTCTTTCCAACGATCCCAGGCTTTGATTCAGGCGGAGGCCCGCGAGAAGGAGGCGGGGTGCGGCTCGCACGGACTCGCCCAAATGGGGTTGCTTTTGGTGTCCCTTTCAAACCAGCCAAACAAGGGGTCCCCCAGCAAAGGACAAGCCAAATGGGCTTTCCTTGCGGCTTGCGCTTGAAACTCTCCCAAAGGGGCTCCGGATGTGCGCCAATCCTTTGGTTGCACCTCTCAGGAGGTTGTTTTTGAGTGAGTAGAAGAGGATCCAGAATTGTCCGGCCGCAGCGAAGTCAGTCGAAGACCGAGTGATCTTCTCGAGCCCTTGGGATAAATCAATCAGATTTCATCACACTCAACACCAGCTTGCTGGCGCGCGGGTGAAAGAGGTCAAGGCAACCTTGTGTGGGTCTCCTGAACTGAACATTTTGAAGGCTTCTCATTTTTTTTTTTTAAATATTTTTTGTTTTTTTAAATAGAGCACCACCTCAAATGTGGTTAGTGAAAGAAAATGACCCCTACCTAAAGTGATGTCCACCAAATGGTCCCTCATTAAAAAACATTATCCTTGTATTACTTTGGGCTCCCGTGTCGGAAGAGTTTGAGGACTGACGTGCAAAGCCCGACCCAAACCAAAACCTGTATTCGTTCCCTGCAAATGGGGAAGGGGGGGAGTTTTTTTTTTTTTGTGTGGGGTGGTGGTGGTTACAAAGAAGGGACACAGAAAGGGCATAGACATTCTGGACTCCGGTGGAAAGGTAGGACCGGGCAGGCGCTGGAGATGCTGGCGGACGGCAAAGGCGCACCTTTCCACCTCGGATGTGCGTGTTCTTTTTGGGGATGTTGGGAGGGTACCCCTTTCCAGGACAATGACAAATCTTCCAAAAGGGATCAGTGGGTCTGTAGCATGGTTTTTTGGCGGGAGGGGACCCGCAAGATAAAAGGAACTGGCAACCAACAGCCCATGGGATTGTCAAATGTGCCAACTTGCGCGCACGGCCCAGTCAACATTGCCAAATCCGGGGCCCCAATGTCAAGAAAGAAGCAGAACTATGGATCGGATTCTAGCGCCTCCACCTGGCTTGTCTCCAACAGCAAAGATGGCGCTTTTGATCACAGGCGGTTGAACCGCGCACGAATAACGGGTGGTTGGAAGGGAGCCAAGTTGCGGTATCCGAATTTGCCTTTGAAGAGGGAGCTAAGGAGCTACCAGGAGTTCTGTAAGGATATAGTAGATATGACGACTTTTCTCCCGCGCCTTCTGCTCCTAATGCCAGGTCTCCCGCAGGAGAAGAAGAAGAAGAAGGTCATACGCACCAAAACCAGCGCCAGCATGAACTCGGCATCATGAGCGCTAAGCGGAGACCTCACAGGACTCTCTCTCTCTCTCTACCTTTGCGGTTCCTCATTTGCACACAATCGACTGCAGTGGTTAGAACGCCTCCAAATCTTGTAAATGATGCCCTTTCAGACACCCTGCTTTAAGGCCGTAGATATGGCTTAGGCACAAAGATGTGGGACCAACAACCTGTGAAGGGACCAAAGCAGAGCTACATGTTTGCCCAAGACAGATGAGATGACAGCTGACAGTTGCGTTTTCGGTGCTTGACTCTTTGCTAGCGCATTCACCCCCACAGAAACGGCTCTCTCACGTCCACAAATGTGGATCGTGGGCTCATGTCCTGCGGAAAGAGGCGGCCGAGAGAGAGAGGTGTACCTTGTTTTGAGTGATGCCAAAAGGACACTGAAGGGAAACCATTTATTGTTGTATACAGATGGCTCGGTTTCCCCCTTCTGCCCGGCCCCGAAAAAAGCGGTTCTAACATGTGTTTGGCCAATGAAGATTGATTTTTCCTGTAGCCAGGTGATGCTTAAGGCGGGGGCGGATCTCCTAGAAATATAGGAACGGGGATAGTGAAAGGATCGCACAATCCAGGGGGACACGCCCCAATGTTCCCACGCCCTCTTGGGATTCGAGTCGATTTTTCAAGCGTGCCGGCGTGTCTCATATAGGCTTGTTTTTGTTGAGGGGAAAAAACCGACGGTGAGCCTTGTTGGTTTCAAAAAAATGCCGGCGACCGGCAGATCCTTTCGCGCCTCTACGGGGCGGTGATCGAAAACGCGCTGCCAGCGCCTCAGGCGATACTCTGAGCCTCACGAGGAGTGTTTGAGGGAGAGTCCCTTCTGGTTGTGGGAAATTCAGAGTATGTCTTGGGAAAAAGCGACCCTCTCCCCATTGAGTGGTAACTCTCGCTGGCCTCAAAATGTAACCCCAAAGGTCGAGTGTTGGTTTGAGGTTTCCGTTGGTTTTCCTCCCAACTTTCGATCGGGTCGAATGGGACCAGCCCTTTAGACTTTCTGAATGGTAGCACCCAAAGGCTGTCAGGCGGAGTGGTCGAGCCTTAGCATTGAATTTAGTTGTGAGGAACCAGGACGGGCCAATGAGTTTTGGTCATTTGGTCATGGCAGATCTGGGGGAAGATCGAAATTTGGCAACCCGCCCATGGATGGTGTTTAGGAAGGGAAAGGGAACACATTTTTGGGGGTCCCCTCCTATTTTTGGCACATACGACGACGCCGCGCATTGGGTTTGTCTCTAAATGAGGGAATTCCCAAAGTAGGTGGTTTACTTTTGGTTCCCCTTTAGAAACAGCCCCAAAAGGGCCTTCAGAAAAGGACGCACCCATGTGTAACTCCACCTCACATCTTCAGCGAGGCTTGTTGACTCCGAATCGTCGAAGATCCCCCTTCCCTGCCAAAGCCGCGTGGGACCTGATCCCAAAATCCCAAACCTTTGCCGGTCAGAACACACAACAACTTGTTTGTGTATGTATATATATATATATATTTATATCGGGTATCTTTTTCTGGGTTGGTTTAAAGAACAACCAAAGTGAACACCCCCGTTGTTTAAGGATCCCCTTACATACCCATATGCATCTTGGATGCGACAGCGGGCCTTGTAGTTTAGGCTATGGCACATAGAAAGGGCTATGCCGACCGACCGGGCCTTTGCCTTGCCAAAGCTGGGAAGATGTTGCAGCCTTGCAGACGGTGAAATGGCTGGCGGGCCCAGAATTTTCCCCCGATGGTGAAATGGATGGTGAAAAGGAACAACACATGTTTTCACTTCAAGACCATCTGCGCCTTGATGATTCGCTTCTCGACCTCGACTCATAATTGCTGTTGTCGGGTGGCGTGCGGTATTTGAACTTTGCCAAAATAGATTTGACAAGCTGGAGTAGAGTGGCGTGCTCTTGGGCGGACAAGCCGCGATCAAATCGCTAAACGCTAGCCGCCAAAAGGCACTGAAAAGGGCCAACCACGAAACCCACGCTTCCTTGGATGACGTCAGTGAACATGGCTCACATGGCTCAAAGAGTTGGCAGAACCAAAAAACGAAGCCAGCTGTTCCTCGCCATTTTGCCCGAGACGCAGGCCCAGCTTTCCGGCTTTCCCGGAGGCCCGATGGTGGCTGGTTGCGAAACCGTGCACCTTATTTCAGTCCTGGAAGAGGAAGGGGGAAATCACATTCTTTTCTGGGGACTGTCCGCTTCCATGATTGGACAAAGGGGGATTCTGGATGTGGCGCGAAGTCTGTGACTTTTCGCAGAAGGAGACTCGAGCTAATCAAAGCTCGTTTCCAGGCCTCTTTGCTTGAGTTGCAAAAAAACACAAGTCACAATCCGGCACAACGTGCTGAAGAAACATAGTTGCGAGATACATGTATTGCTGCAGGTATTGTGCGTTCTCCTCTTTGCATCTTGATGTTGACTGCGGGTGTTCCCGGGCTTGCACACTATGCCAGATTTGTCCTACCGTCCCTTCGGCCGATATCGGTGGCTGTCAGCTTCTGGTGAGGCCTTCAACGATCTCTCAGTCATGACGTTTTCGGCAGAAGACGTGCTGAAAGGACGTGCGGAAAACAGCCTGAAAGTGCGTCTCGCAGGTGGACAGCAAGGAGTGCATGTGGGGTGCCTGTCGTTTTCTTCCTTGGACTGCCGAACTGTTGTTGAAGAAGGCCCTTGCAAAATCCGCTCGTTCCTGCAGAGCAGACAATTTGCTCCCCTGCAGATTGGCATGGAACCAAGAAAGGTGTTGATCAGCAGGAGATTCCTGGTTAAACAATTTATTTTTAAGATTCCATGTTATTTTGTCAGGGAGCATTGAATGAGATCGGACTGCAGGCCAGAAGCTGAGAGGCTCATTGGCTCGTTGGACTTCTGCAAGTCTTGGCTCAAGTGACAAAAATTGGGAAGACCATGCTGTCTCCTGCACCGTTGCTTTGACAGGTTTCCAGACCTTGGAAAAAGCATCAAGTTAACCCCGACCCCCAAAACTGGATACCCTCCAAAAACCACAAACCGCCAGGTCTCGGGGCAGAAGGTCTGGAATACTTAGCGTCCGCGGCGAAACTAAGCAGGTGGGTTCAACCCACCTTGGCCCTTGGAAAGTTCTAGCCAGTTTTGGATGCGTGTTTAAGGTCTCAGATGATAGGCGGATCCTTGAATCGCTCGGCGTGCTTACTCTCTTGCCGCCGTTGCACAAGACTATAACCCTTGGCGAACAATCACCGCCTTTCCCCTCGATGCAGGCACTTTTGTCTACACAAGTCGTGAAGACACAGCATAGAGAACTTTCCCATGTGCCGAGAGCTTCGTTAACTGATGCCAGCAGCTGAGCATGACGCACGACTTCTTGATGCAGAGTTTGTTTTGCTTTGAAGCCAAAGGCTGTGGACGACAGGGACGGGAGTTGTTTAGGATGACACTATCAACCAGAGCTCAGGACGATCCTTTGATGGTAAAAGTCCACGAGCCTCAACCTTGAGGGCAGCACCTGTTGGTTTGGTGCAAAAGACACGCGAAACAGGCAAAGACCCCCAGGCTTCCCAAGTGCCGTTGGGGCATCATACCTTTCTTTCTCAGTCGACAGGCTTCGAAGGCTGCCGGCACAGGCCTGAAGGGGTTGCAGTGCAGAGGCTTTTGATCCGGTTTTCAAATGGGGCGGGCGGTGGCTCTCTGGGAGGGTGCCTAAGCAATTGCAAACACCAAGGTGCAAACATATCACGCTTGAAGGTCCCAGCTGAGCATCATGGGGCCTTAGGAACGACGTCCTATGGCAATCAATTGGGTTCTTCCACCGGATTGTTTGGGTCAAAGTTCGGTACAGTACCATCGTACATCTTTGCTCTGACTAAAATGATGGCCGGAAGGATGTTAATCCTGGGTTTATCCTACTTAATCTAAGATATTAAGCTGTTAGGGTTGAACAATAACTCCATTGCAAGTTGTAAGGTTCAAACAAGTTCGGTGAGGTTCCGATGCGACAGGTCCTGCGGCGAGCACAGCCCAGGCCCCGGGACCCGAGGCTGGGCGAGGTTGAGCTAGTTTGGAGTGACTCCACGTGTCTGTCTGCACCTCATGGGAAAAGGGGAGATCCTTTCCCGAGCACCAAAGGGTTGCTCAGGATGCACCAAAGGGTTAGCAGAAGTGCCTTGGCCGCGATGGTTTGGTTCAACCTGACTGGGGCAATATCTTTCAACCTCCAAACCTTTAAGATTGATTGAGACTCAACTTTGGAGAAGCGCCATATTTAAACAGCTCTTTGAAATTAAGTTTCAATTCAATCTGAGAAGAACACACATCCTTTTGTACTTGCATTCAATTTCTAGGCAAGCACAAGTTGACCGCATGGTTGGAACGGAGTTTCTAGTTAAACAACGCGAAAGTCGTATCGTTCACTACAGATGTAGTGCGTGAACTTGATACTTCAAAGTTAAGCCCAAATCAATTAGACAACTGCTCCATTGCCAGTTCCATTTGCCGTCTAATTAAGTTCCATTACACGATTCCATTTGCATTCTAAATACATCATGCTGCTTATCTTATTCGATTTAACCACTGTTAACAACATGTATTGCAAACAAAAAATGGAAAGACATTCCATTGAAACTGCAGTTTCTAGTTCAAATCAAATTCACCTCGAACCGATTGCATTTCCTTATACATGTTGAATGCACAACACATGGAAACGCCAACAATTGACATTGCTACTTGAAATTGGACTCCAATTGATTTCCTTGGGTCTTTTTCATATCTACTTCCATGTGTCTAAAGCAAGCAAGAATTGAGCCCGTTGAAGAGGGCCGAAGATGATCTAAACAGTTGTTTGTGGACTCTTCAAGCCGTCAATTGTCGATCCCGAGGAAACCTTCAAAGTTGTTTGAGAAACATTGAAGTTCTTGTGGGCCCTTTTTGTTCGAGCTGGTCAGTACTCAGTCTGACTCCTTCTTTGAAGAGAAGCAGAACGAGACAAATGCCAAACAGGCACTGGATTTTACTGTGTATATGTATTCAGATATGTGCTTCGGCACTGCGAGCCCCATTTCAGGCTGCCTCTTTGGAGAGCTTGCGCCGTGCAGGCGGCCGGGAGAACCGGGA